CACACACTTTAATTATGCTAAGCATTGCTAAATTTTCTGCAACCACTCAATGCTAAATTTTCAAAATCTCGCTCTTGTGCTGACGGTGTTGCTTCTGCTATGGAAGCCTGCCATATGCAAAAATGGGTGCACGGAAAAGTGTGGCTCCATTCACATTCAATTCCCATTTCACCTCAGAAATAGCAAGTTGAATCACACCATGGGCTATCCTCGTGGGTTCGATCTGTTGTGTACGGATGCAGATGAGACTGTGATGGATCTGCCTTCTGTTCCAATAAAATTGTATGTCCAAAGCATAGATTACAAGTCACAGCAAATCCAACTCTACGACCCTCAAAATTGCCTTCCTAGGCAGCTCATGAAGCTCGGCAATTCCTCTATTTCACCATTTCAATTCCAATCAAATAGGGACCGGAATGTTTCCTTCTTCCGCTGAAACTCAATGTCATGCCCAATTTTGCAACTTGATTCTGAAAAAGACATTCTTGATCCCGAGATAGTATCGTGCACAAAGTTGAGTGATGTTTACTCCGTACAGTGGTATGTACAGGATTATTTGAAAAACACCGTGGTTGCGGAATGGACCAGCCCCAATTGCAGTTCCTGTGAAGCACAAGGAAGTAAATGTAGATACAAGAATGGTACCCAAAGTGAAGTTGAATGTTTTGTTTGCCCCACAAACGGGCTTCCAACATCAACTATTGTACTTATCGCAGCAGGTATGTGCGGTATCCTTGTTTCACCGTTTTCTTTCTCTGTTTGTAGTTCTTTGTAAGGTGTCTAACAGAAGATACACCCACAGGGGGATTCGGTGGTTTCCTTCTTGTGCTGCTTTTGGCCAAGGCTTTGTTTCATGTGCATGACCATTATAAGATGAAAGGAGAAGACCAAGCTCGAATAGAGAAATTCTTGGAGGATTACAAGGCAATGAAGCCTACAAGATTCACTTACGCTGACATTAAGAGAATCACAAATGGGTTTAGTGAGAGTTTGGGAGAAGGAGCTCATGGAGCAGTGTTCAAGGGAATGCTCTCCCGCGATATTCTCGTTGCTGTGAAGATACTCAATGACGCTGTTGGAGATGGAAAGGATTTCATAAACGAAGTGGGAACAATGGGCAAAATTCATCATGTTAATGTTGTTCGCTTGCTT